GTGCTGGGTTCTGCACTTGAGTCACAACAACTCCATGCAGTGCTACAGGCTAGGGGAGGAGTGCTTTAAGAGCTGTTTAGCAGTAAGAGACTTAGGGATACTGGTCAACAGCTGAACATGAGCCAGCATGTGCCCAGGTGGCCAAGAAGGCCAATAGCATCCTGGCCTGGTCAAACATAGTGCATCTAGCAAGTCACACGTCTAATCCTGGACCTCTTGCTCTGAGCTACTGAAGTGTGTCCAGAGTAACGCAACAGAGCTGGTAACGGCTCTGGAGCATAGATCTTACAAGGAACAGCTGAACAAGCTGGGGAATTTTAGTCTAAAGAAGAAGTTGAGGGGAGTATTCATTGCTGTCTACAACTGCCTGAAAGGAAGTTGTAGTGAGGTGAGGGTCATTATTTTCTGCCATGTCTCAAGTGAAAGGATGAGAGGAAACAGCCTTAAATTACACCAAATTAATTTTTCTCTGAAAGAGTGGTTAGAACAAGTTGCCAAGAAAAGTGGTGGAGCCACAGTCTCCAGAAGTGTTCAAGGGACATCTGGATGTGGCACCGGGGGACATGGTTTAGGGGTGACTGTGGTGATGCTATATATGAACTAGATGAGATTTCAGGTCTCTGACAACCTTGGTGATTCTGTGTGATGATTCCGTGTGATTACTTCTTGTGTCTTTCCTGGCCTGTCGTTTCAGTCTTATATGTGCAGCCCCACATCCTCCTTGTGCGTTCCGTGTCTCTGTTGGTTGGCTTCCCCGAGCTCCACCCGCTGTCTTCTGTTTCCAGCAGGAGTACAAGGCTTCATTTGTTTTTCTCTGTAAGACAGCACATCCATTTTCTTGGAATAATCAGACAACAGGGCCTTGGATTTCTATGGTAGCTAGGCCATGAAGTTGGAAGAGTGAACATGTCAGTGTATACACAGATTTATTTTTAATTGGAAGAAAGAGAAAAAGCTATAAAATTAGAGGCCCTGCTTCAAGACTAAGGCATGGTCCTTCTATAGCAGTCCTAGAAGGTTAATGTTTGCAAATAGATTGAAATAATGTTCAAGGCCAGCTCCTCTGGCACCTTTCAAGTGCTAAATTCATTGAAAAGATCGTTGCTTAAAGCAGTGACAAGTGGTAATGAGATTGTATTTTTGAAAGTGCAACGTTTCATGCATGGGACATTGTGGCAGTTTTTCCTTGCAAGAGCTTCTTTGGAGAACATGACAGTTCACTGATTGGACATAGCAGTCTCCTCCCCGTGGATTGTTTGCGCATTGCAGAGGGCAATTCACCAGGTCTTCTCGCCCAGTATTGCTAGTAAAAGCAGCTAGTGAATATTATGAAAGGCTATAGATGGGCTATGGTGTACTTCCTTTCATAAACTGGCATTTGGAAGTACTTAAGTCCGTACTTCTGCAGAAGTACAATTCTAAATAAAATGGAACTGTGATATTGTATGGTATTATGGTGATAACGCAGCTGCTTACAGGTAAGTATAAAGAAAACATGCTCTGATTTGTTTATATAAAGTGGTCATGCAGCTATGTTATGGATTTTAAAGTATAAAGTATATAGTATATTAAAATTCTAATGCTTTTAATCCTGTCATAACTTTAGCTAGACTGAATATAAAGGTTTTATTTACACATAACTGTAGTCTATTCAGCACAAAATCATTTGAAAAGTATGTGTACCAAGCAGCAGTGAAATGACAGTGTGCATGGCAGGGACTTTATACTGCAGAATGCTGGTGATATCTGACAGCTTTGTAATAACCTGCATTTCTTATTAAAGGATATACTGGAGGCATCACTTTGAAGCTCTCAGAACCTATTAACTTTGGCCAGTGAAGTCATGTTTTCATTCACTAGTGCTTCTTGGAAAACACCTCCTAGCCTTGCTGAAAGTATGGTAACATCAACAAAAAGGCACCCCACCTCTCTTCACTGCTGTTATAGCACAACCCTGGGTGCTTGGACTCATAAGATAAAAATCAAAAGAAGCCCTCAACAAATGCAATTTGTTTCAGGCACCCTGCAAACAGTTGTGTCAAGTCCTAGGCTTCAGTTCAAAAAGCTCTGAAGTATGTGCTTCATTTTAGGCATACAAGCAGCATGGCCCTTAAAGCTTTTCTGAGCTGAGTAAGTGTTGACTCAGTAAGCACTGATTTTTAATAAAGAAGGAAACATGCATTTAGAAGAACTGCCTTCAGCCCAGATGTATGCTTTTGATGGAGCTAAACTGAAATGCAATGAGCTTTTAGGCCGTGGGTAGATGCACAGTGTGCTATAGAAGTTGACCAGTGTTGCAGGGTATCTTGTCTTAATTACAGTGGCATCTGTCAAGGAGGCCACCCTGTATAATACTTTTGTTGATACTTTGAAAGGCAATAAATTCTGTCTTCAAAAAGATATTGAGCTGTTTGAAGTAACATGAATGATAGAGATGGAGAGACCGCAGGACTTCTCAGTACTGGTCAAGAGTCCTCTGTCCAGTGAAATCTTGTGACTTTCAGGGACAGAAATGGACACAGCTCCAGGCAAGATGGTTTGGGAAGAATACCAATGAGCCCTGTGCTTACCTGTAAACTGAATTCTTGGTGTCAATATTAACAAGTCAGTCTTGCTATGACTGCAAAGACAGACAGGTGTGTGATGTTACAGATCAGTTCATCACAGAGCCATAATTTGGTGTCAGTTTATCATCATCAGTCTGGAGGTGTGTCCTTCATTTTCCTGAGTGGCATTGGAAATTTGGCATAGAGTCCTACCAAAAGTAGACTGGATCTGTATCGAAAAAACATAAGAAGATTTGAAGAGTGGTTGGGGATTTTTAAAATTGTTTTCTCAAAATGTCTTGATTTAAGATTTGATCAAAAAAAAAAAATGGAGTCACATATTTTATTGTCTATAACTTCCATTAATTTTTAAAGGAATGAGTCAAAGAAATTGCTGAACAGAACCAGTAGCAGATGTTATATGATGAGCAAATGTAAGAGCCATTTTAATATTTGATGAGACCAAAAGGTTCCCATCACTAACCATCTCTTAATGGCACTTGGCCTTTGAATGGGTGTACGTGGCTGCATGTTTCTAAGGGACTAATTTTTTTGTCTTTCTAATGAAATAGCTCTCAAGACTGGATTAAAAGTGGTGGTGGTTTGGAAGTGTTTGGTTATCATGTCAGTTTAGGTTATGATAGGGTGGGAAACTGAATGTTTGGTTGCATCTGAGCATGTTGTTGTGTTCAAACTCTCCACATCATTGAGAGGCCTCTTAGTCAAAGCTAATGAAAAATACCAAAGCACAGAGTGTTTACAACCAGTCTGTCTGCCAAAGAGGTAAACTGTTAACATAAAGACAAATGGGCCAAACTGTGAAAAAACACTTTAAAAATGTGTATCTGTTCTCTATCAATGCACTGCACAGGAGCTGAGTCCATTTTAAATGGCTCGGACACCTGTGCATGGAAACCTGCCTGGAGTCAGAAGCATATCCACAGTGTAGTCAGGAACTGAAACTGGGAGCCCTGCCTGTCATTCAACAGCCTGCTAAGTAATGTTCCTCCACCACTTGCATAACATTTCATGTGGAGGGAGTAGAAGAAGGGCCTCATAATACACCAAGTCTTTGAAAATTTTAGCGTGACTTTCTGTTTCTGTGTGCATCTGTGGTGATGCACAGAATGGGACTCAGCTCTCACAGCCGTAGCTGTGTTTGGTATGCTGCACTAACACTGAATTGTTGACAAATAGGTGGTAATGGATATCCTGTGTGATTTAGAAATAATGTCAGCTCTGACTGTTGGGTTTTTCTTCCATTTGCTGTTTGAACATGAGAACAAGAAAAGGCCATTATTTATAGCAACAAATGTTACGTCCCAAAAGGAGAAATTATATTTTGAATTGACAGAATCATGAAAGTGTAAATGTGGTTTCATAACTAAATGTATTTTCAGAAAGGAAAATGAGTTAATCAAGAGTAAAATTTCCTTGAAAAAGCTTTCATTTTTTTTTTTAAATCTTCCTTGGAAATATTCTCAGCTGTCATGGTACAAAAGTAACTAGCATATCTTTATATCCATATCACAGTATCTCAGCAGTTACACTGTTTAAAAATTACTGAAATCATTTTATACTTTGTTGATATGATCCAACCAGAAAAGGACATGCCAGGAACAATAAATTGTTTAGAACATGGAAATAAAAGACTTTTAAAATTTTTATTAAGGTTAGGAAACCTAAGTCTTAGAAAGTTTAATTTTCTGGGGAAGATTAAAAATGTTCTAAAAACTTTCAGAAAGGCATTCATTCAGTGAAGGGCCCATTCAACAGGAACTGATTTAAGGTAGGAATCCATATCTTACAAGTTGTTTATTATGAAGGAAATATATCCAAAGGACTGATTTTTTTTTTTGATTTTTTTTTTAATGGACAGGGTAGTTAATGTGGAACAAAATAATTTCATGCATTAACTGTGGAACTTAAAACCAAAAAATAACATTGCTTTAATTCAGTCAGAATTAGGATATTCAACCATACAGATCAAATCCTACCATTTCATATAGCCAGACCTCAGTGTCTTCATGTATTTCAGTTGATGTTGATAAGTTTCTAGGTGAATCACCTGTCCATATTTCATTTAATGAATCCTTTTGAGTTTCTTGTGTGTTAAAATAGAAAGTAAAACTAGCCTAATTCAAAGCTGTTTGGTAGTGCAATATAGATCTTCCTGTTCCTTAGGTAGGGTGTGGCAAATAAACATTAAATATTAGTTCAGACTCCAGAAACAACATTCTTTGAGATTTTTGTTGAGGAACATATTGTGTGGTACTGATTGTTGCTGGGGGAGAGGAGTTCAAACCATGAATCCACAGTTCTTCAAAGCTCCTCAAAGCAAATGTTACCAGATAGGAAAGAAAGAAACCAGGGATTCTCCATGTTTAATGTCTTCAGACTGCCTTGTGAGGGTCTGAAGAAATGATTTCTAACTCTTTTATTTGTTTTTCTCAGGTTGGGGGTCACACCATGCTGCCCATTCGTTGGATGCCTCCAGAGAGTATAATGTACAGGAAGTTCACCACAGAAAGTGATGTCTGGAGCCTGGGGGTTGTATTATGGGAAATCTTTACTTATGGCAAACAGCCATGGTATCAGCTCTCAAACAATGAGGTGTGTGTAATATATTCTCAAATTGCATTGGGAAAGTTGTTATACTAATTATTGGTATGGCCTCCCTGGAGAAGGGACAGCAAAAAATTTATTTCTTAAAGGTTGACACTGATACATGGTATTTATTGTATTGTCATGAACCATATGGTTGAATTTCTTCTTTCTGACCCTTTTCTTTCCTGAGTAGATGGAAGGTGTTCAAGCAGAACTAGAACAGTTGGATTTTTTTTTTTTTTTCCCTTTGTATAGCACAATATCTGCTCTGGGTAGACCATGAGGCAAAAAAAGGTAGACCATGAGAAAAGCACCTTAGCTGTCTCCTGAGAAGATGTATCATACATGGTACTGTTTCAGAGTGGTTGTCCATACCATGGACAGATTAGATTGAAGTAATCTTATCTCTTGATTTCTAGGCAGTCACAAGTGTCCCCCTTTCAGAGATTAGCCACAGTGATGCTGATAAATTTGCAGAGGGGAAAAAGAAGAAGAGGCATTCATGCTCTGAGCAGGATGAAAATTTATCCTTCCTCTGAGGTGGTAGTTGGGTAGAAAGAGAAGTTGTGGGATTAATTCCCAGCTCCAATTTCCTATTTGCGGAGTGGACAATGTGGGTGAATTTGACATGAGTGAAGTTACTGCTCTTTGATCACTTACTTTACAGTGACTTTTCAGATTGCATACTGCTACGCATTCATCTGCCTAGAAAAGCAGTCCTTTCCAGAGATGGCTGCATGGCCACTCACTCAGCAGTGAGGCTGCTGTGGTTAAAGTTAACTCTCCTGGGGATGAATTCTCTGTAGCTGGCACAACTGTGACGATCTTTTGCTTGTGATTTCTCACAGGTGATTGAGTGCATCACTCAGGGCCGAGTCCTGCAGCGACCTCGCACGTGCCCGAAGGAAGTGTATGACTTGATGCTGGGCTGTTGGCAACGGGAGCCTCACATGAGGCTCAACATCAAGGAAATCCACTCCCTCCTTCAGAACTTGGCCAAGGCATCTCCAGTCTACTTGGATATTTTAGGCTAAAGTCTCCTAGCATTTCTTCTTCTGGGCTGCGGGAATGAATGTGTTCAACTGCCGCTGAACTACATTAAAATGTGTTCTTAACTTTGACAGTATTAATGACAAAGTTGTGGAGAAGCTTTCAAAGGGCAAGCAATGTGCGCTTCTCCATCTGTAGACACAGTATTGACTTTTTAGACATTACCAAGAAGTATCTTCTCTCTTTCTCTCAGTTTCTATCTTTTTTTTCCTTCTCTCCTGTCTTTCTAATCAATTTGGCTTCTGCATTATTGTAACTCTGCATAGACAAAGGCCTTAAAAACCCAATCTGTTATATCAGCAGACTCCTCAGTTTGCCCACCACAACTAACAATGCCTTGTTGTATTCATGCCTTTGATGTGGATGAAAAAAAGGGAAAAATATATTTGACTAAAACTTTGTGATTTCTGCTGTATAGCTACTGGGAGTTTCTATGGATTCACCTCATTTTTTTTTTGCTTCAGCCTGTGGGTGGAAAAAGAAGGCTGGTGTTCTCTACATGAAGAATGTCCTTTGCAGAGATAAATCCAGATAGAAAGAAGACACTTGTATGATACACTATCTGGAGGAACTTGGGAAATCAGGGGGCATCCAACCCTACAAGACCCACTTCACACTGAAGTGATTTGATGGAAGATAAAAGGGGGTCTAGCTATTTCCCTGAAGAGTCTGAGGACTAAAGGGATTGTTTAAGGAGGTGCTTTGCCAGCACCATTCATTGCCAGAATCAAGTAAAACATAAAAAAGATTCTGCTTGCACTGCACGCAATTGTGTTACAACATGATAAACTAAACAGATGCCCTTTTTTTGTCTTCTGGTAGGATATTGTCATGCCACTGGTGTAAAAATATTCTCCAGGTAGTCTTTTTTAGTAAAGGCTGAAGCTAGGTTTAGTTACATAAAATATTAATCTCAAGATCACATGTTGAAACTAAGGATTTTGATAGGACAAGCTATAAATGCTGAGGCAGGTGTATCTTATACCGTGCTTGTCCAGCAGCATATTCCTTCCTTCCTCAATCCTTTCTTTTTCCTTTTTTGAACCGTGCAAGCAAAACTGTGCATGGTCTTTGTCAATTAATGCCCTTTGTGCAGAAACAATCACTCATCTTGTAGTACACCCTAGTAGGCATAGCAAACTCATAATGATATATTGTATATTTCATTAGAAGGGGCTAATGGAGGACATTAGCCACGTTAAAATGCCTTTACAATGTTATAGATATTATAGGCTGATATAACATGAATAATCTAAAGCACGGAGATCACTGGTTATGTTTGAGACATAGCAGGGGATAAAGATCTCTATAGAAAACAAATTACTCTGTGGTTATGGCTTGCTATTCAGAGTGCAAAAATTCTGAGCTCAGCGTCATTTTTGTATTGGTACTATTGCTGTCATAACCAACATACACACTTTATTAAATAATTTATTTTTGGTTGGATTGGCATTGTATGTGTATAACATTTGCATGGCCACTGTGTTGATGACCGCTGCATGGACATACATGTTGTTTTTCAAACTAGAAGTTGACAATTTGAAATTTAGAGCTAGGATTATTTTTAATATGAATTCTTACAAATGAAAACCTACCTTACCTATTCCTCAAGACTTCTGCCTCCCTCTGTGAGGGGGCGTTATTGCAAAAAAAAGTGATCTTTCTTTCCATTTTCTCTTTTTATTATTTCTTATTGATATGAGCCAGATCAAAATAGTCCATCTTCGTGTTGGGGATATTTTATTTAATAAATTAAGCATTTTATTTTTGTAAGTGTTCCCATAGCACATTTAATATATCATTTGCTCGCATGTATTATTTATTGAGGCACTTTAAGTTTTTCCTTCCAAAAGCTTTTAAAGCTAGCTTATAAAAATTCTGAACATTTTCAGAAGAAAAGAGTTCACTGGACACTGATGAAGTTCTACCCTTCTCAATGTCATTGAAAAGGCAGCATTACAAATAAACATGACAGTGTAACTATAAAGCCATACTCAATATTTCTTTAATAAACTAGATGTTATTTCTTAACTGCTACTGAACTGGAAACTCGTAAAAAGCCAGAGGAAGATTCCTACAAAATGGGCCTTAAGATTTTATCTAGACTGTCTTGGAAGTTCTCACAGAAAACTAGAAAAAGACTGAGCATCCAGTGAAACCCATTCTCTTGAGAATATGAATGTTATATTTTAAAGGAATTTGAAATTGATCTTCAAAATAACAGTGGTGGAAAAGAAAGACATCAGAGTCCTCTTATTGTGCAGTGGGAAGAGGGTGCAGTTGGTGGAGGGGGCTGCTAAGTTTCTACCTGCATATTCTGTCTTAGTTTCTTCTGAGGTGAAGAAAAAGGCATCTGAGATGATGCTTTTACTGTAGAAGAGTCTCCAGCCCTAAAGCAAGCAGGTGTGTTTTGCAAGCACTGAAAGAATGTATACCAAAAATAACCACAGGACCCTGAAAATGTACTTAGTGGCATCTTCTTTTTAATTTGCTAGTGAGACTTTTAGAGTCATTTCAGAGAATAAATAGTATTAAAATGCGTTGTGCAATAACATAGCAGTTTGTTAAATTTCTAAAGGACCAAATGTTCTACAGAGCCACCACCATGGATAACCTTGACCTATATCATTTATGTTCTTGATAGTGCATAAAATGTATAATCACAGTAGAAAAGCTGTAAACTGTAGCTATACATAGTTTGCGTTTGTTCCTGAAAAGGTGGGTAAGTGTAGCAGAGTGAGCAGAGAAAAGGCTAATTTAAAAAGTCTTTCTGGACTGTGCTATGAACTGACCATATATATATATATATATATATATATAATATATGTGTGTTTGCATATGGCATATATATATATACACACACACAGCATATACATGTATGCCTATGTCTGTTGTATTTTACTTATATATGTGCAGACATGCATGCACATTATGTATGGGCTGTGTGTATATGTATAAATTTACATACACCTATGTTATTACAAATTATTATTAGAGTGCTATTAATAAATTGATAATGTCCACTGAATAACCAAATTTTTTTTTTCTTTTGATATTTCTTTTTCTATATTTGTAAGATTCAGCTTTCTAACTGGTGTGCAGCAGAGGCAGTGCTAGAATGCCAGAGATTTAACAACAAGCACTTTTCTTCCCCAGATGATTGCATAAAGACATTTCTTCCATTCCCATCTCACTTGTTGATTTCTCACACTGAAATTAATGAATAAGCTTCCAAGCTCAGAAAACAGAGTTTGTTTTACTGTTGTTTTATTGTTCTAGCATAACAGTGCAGCTCCATTAGCATTTTATACTTGCCTGCAGTAACAAAATAATTCCAAGAATGAGCTGGACTATTCACACTGCAACATGACTTGTAGAACAACGAGAACACTGACATTCAGGAGTAATAATAGTAGCATTCGCCGCGCTCTGTCCTTCACTCTCAATAGATCTGCAGAACTTGGAACTGGCCGTGGAGAAAGACACTTGTAAAGCAACAGCACCCCATGATGTCTGATGGAGTGTACACTTTAAAAAGGACTGCCTTCATTTTGACCTGTAAAACAACATATCTATATATTGTCTACAGGTTAATAAGTAACTGCTTATTTTTTATTTTATCGCTTTATTTCCTTCTTTCTCTTTTCTTGTCTTTTGTCCTTCCTTCCTTCTCTTATATTTCTTTCTTTCCCTCTCTTTCTTTCTCTGTCTGTACCCTCCCCACCTTTATAAGAGATTGTGGTTGATGTAGACTTTTCCAAAACACTTCAAAAAGAAATTAAATAACCCAAATGACTAAGGTATAATGCATATGTACTAGAACAAGCCCGCATTTGGGTTGTTGAGGCCTGTAACTGAATTTCAAATACTGCTATAAAATGTGGGGCAGGGGAGCAGGGAGGGACTGGAGAGCAAGTTGGGATTTCCAGAGATGAAGGTTTTGATAGCACAGGAAGTTGTATTTTCTTATTGTGAGGGCTGGAATAAACCACTGCTGCTTTGAATAAGAGGTCCTTTAGAGCCTTAGTTAAAACACCTTTATTTGGGCAGGGTGGGGGCATGTGTTGTTCATCACAAATATGAAGCAAAAAAAGAAGAAAGTCTACATGTTGCAGGGAAAACACTGTGAAATTCACAATAGCAACCAAGTGACTATTTTGCCATCTTTTAAACATATGTCTCAGGAGAAGAAATGGGAAATGATGGGTGTGTTATTTTTCCGTCTATGCATTCTGCACAAGGTCTGTGGGGATTTTTGTTTGCTTGTAGAAGGTTCTGAGTGATGACTGGCTGATATTTTATAAACACTGAATTTGAGCAAGGATTATGGAAGCTGCTAGTAAGTGAGGCCACCGATTGAAATACATGAGAAAACAGAACAAATCAAATCTATCCAGAGGCCTAATTCTTGCAGCTGATATGTATCTTTCTGTAACTTATAGAAAAGCACCTAAGAATGTTTTATATACAAATAATTTAATTCAACATTTATGTTTAATTGAATCACCAATAGAGAGAGAATCAATTAATTATGAAATATTTGTCCCAGCCCTTCTCTCCACCTATACTTTATGTATATATATTTCTAGATATCACTCTGTTTGTCACTTTAGATAAAGAGGAAGATAAATATCTACATACAAATATAAATCTCTATATTGTCACCAAATTGTGACCTGGTGTGTAGAGCTATCTTTCTCCTTTCTTTTTTCCTTTTTTATTTTTATTTTTAATTTATTTAATGTGATGTCTCCGTGGAAATATTTAGTGGTTCTTGTTTTGCAGTTTGTTACAAGTAGTCATTGCTTTAAAACTTTCATTGCATCTTGGCTGATTTCAAAGTGATGCCTAGGTATCAGTGTTAAAAGTTTTGTTTGTGAATCATGTGACCAGCTTTCTCAACATGACATGGAAAGTCTCTTGTATTACAGTGTATTTAATAAAAATGATGTCTTACAATAAACAATGTCATCCAAAAGAAAGATAAAATTATTACTTTAAAACACTAAAAATTTCATGAAGTGTTGTGTGTTGTTTTCTGGTTTTTGAATGCCTTTGTTCACCTCTATTCTTTTTGGGATGAAATTAAGGGAAAGTTTGGTATACTTAGAAGCATGGCAGCTTTTCACTCTAAAACTGTGAAGCAAAAACACACAGGTGCTGAACTCACAGTTCACGGAAGAGTTGGCCAAAATTAATAGGACAAAGGAATGGCCAATCTGATGGCAGATTCATTTTTATTGTCTTCGTTGTCCAAAAGAAGATCCTATTTAAATTCTTGTTCATTTGGGCAGCTGGCAGCAAACACCTGCTGGTCTTCTAGGAGAAGCAGCCTTCAGGTATTTTCTGGCACTTTTCTTAAAGTGTGGCTCAAACTACAGCCCTGCTAAAAATGTGGTTTTTTTCTTTTTAACTCATGTCAGTCTACTATGAATATATTGTGAACAAATATAGCATTAAATCCAAATACTTAATTAAGATTCAGAATGTACACATTCAGAGGAAGGTTCAGCAACTGTATTAGTGACACCTTCACAATCTCTTGATCTCAACCAAGCCCTTCAAGGTCAGAGCAAAACAATACAAGAGCCACTCTATGAATGTATGTGTTTCCATCTGCCAAGAGACCTCTTAAAGATTAGATGAGCTGTCTATAAGCATTCAAAAGGTCAAAGGAAAATAATCCACTGAGAAGGAGCCTCAGGATGAAATCAGTCCAAAACTGAAAATATCATTAAAACACACTAAAAAATTTGTTGACCGTTCATGTTCATGCAGTGGCTTAGAAATGCCTTACCTGCTTTCATGGTAAAATCCTGATGCCTTCTGTATTGAATACATTTTTGCTATCCCAAAATTAAACACATCTCTGCAGGCAACTGATTGTGAGGAGTCTGGCTGCAGTGAGAGCTTTGGAAACCCCCAGTATTTAGCACTGCCCTGCAGTCCTATCAGCATGGATGCAACAGCCCGTATACACTGTCCCCCCCCATTCCCTTTTCCCCAGCGATTTTTAAGGTGAGGGGCATGTAGCTGCAGCAGGGATGGGACATTGCCCCTTCTCATGGTGGCTTTGCACCAAAGACACAAAGCCAGATGAGCCAGCAGGGCCCAAGGAGTGCCTCAGCAGCACACTCAGAATTTTTGCAGCATTGCAGCAGGCAGGCAGGTACCTCTCCTGCACAGCCCAGACTACCCAAGACTCCAGTTTAAATTTCCTCTCCCCAGCAACTGCCCCGCTTACCCAGGGAGTCCCATTGCTCTTTTGAGTTCGATCTCAGATGGAGCCTTGGGCAGGCAAGATGTGTTGAAACATGTGCTCATCACATGGTCACTTGAGGAAGAAGAGTTCTGTATCTTCTGTCTTTCCCACCTGGACACATATGGCCCTGCAGCATGCACTACAAATCAGAGCACAGGTGCAGTTTAAAAGCAGTGGTGACTGGTGCCATTTTTGTTGCCTTCTGTTCACTGCAACTGCAAGGCTAAGGGTGTTAGTTCAGGCTGCACAAGAGGCTTGGGAAAGACTAATGAGTCTGATGAGTTCCTGAAGCTCTCAAGACATGTCAGACTTAGCAGTCTGTGTAAGATCACTTCTGCACAGATCAGCGATGTCCTTCCACAGCTTCACAGCATCTGAAGGTCTCTCAGCTTGCCAGTGCCTGCCTCCTGCATAAAATCTGCAGAGAATTCTGAAACATTAAACAGGTCAGCAAGGAATATGCAACAAAAGTCCTGCACCTGCTACTGCTAAGTCTCAACAAATTTCCACAAGTGATTTCACAGTGAGGAAGTAATTGTGTTAAATGATTCATATAACTTGAGAATCATCTTGATCGCTGTGTTGCTTTAAAGGTGATTCATGGTGCCTTTTGATTGTTCCCATTGGTATTTTTAATGGTTTAAATAATTTCCTTTTTAAATACTGAGAATGCTTATGTTTAAAAAAAAAAAAAAAGAAAAAAAGCATGGTGCTATAAAGGACAAAAGAAAAAACAAAATCTTTGATCTACTCAAGACAGGGTAGGAAAACTCTACTTATCCGGCTCCCAGGTTTGCTTGCCAAAGCAGCTTATTGATACTTGTCATAAACCATTGGTTCTGGCAAGAAAGATTTCATGCAAAAAAGAAAAATATTTGAAGTAAATACTTGAAGAATTACTCAACTAGTTACTATGCTAAGAGCCTCATGGTTCAACCTCTTAGTGCATATATTAACATGCACAACAGACATAGAGTTTTTTCAGCAATTCATGGCTTTCAAGAGTTGGGAGATTTTTACAGTGACTTCTAGTGTCATGGAAAGTCCATATCTGTCACTATTATCCTGATTTTTGTCTTCTTTTTAATTTTTTTTCTGAACAGTTAAACATAACATAACATAAAAATAGCAGAACATAAAAAGCGATACTTCTATTTCAGTGTATTTCAACATGGGCAGAGCTGACTTTGGGTTCATTACTCTGAGTTCTCTAGCTATCCCAGTGAGGAACTGTCAGGAATGGCTAAGTAAATTATTGATGATAAGCAGGAATGAGAGCATTGATTTATGCTGGTAACTCCCAGGGTAGGCTCCTGTTCATAGTAACCCAGGTCCTTCTTTGGAAAGCTGAGGCTATGCAGGTAATGACAAGGGATTCATCACCTTCTGCTTCATGTTCTGAAACCAATTTACAACTGGATAATGATAGCTGATCAAAAGGAAAAAATTTCCTCTCTTGGACACTCTTCTGTTGCTGTTCTACCCAGTAC